AGGCGCTCGGTGCATGCTGCTCTGGGCAGACTTGGATGCTGGTATTGGCCTCAGCTGGCAATGGCAGCATGCTGCCATCCATATGCTACACAGCCAGTGAGTGCAGAACTTTAAAAAAAAAAAAAAAAAAAAGGCAAGCCCTGCACTCGTCGGCTGCATCAGTGGCAATTGGGGGCTTGTGGCAGAGCCCTGCCATGCAGTGGGGATTGCCCCCCCTGCCTGGCACCCATGTGGCAGCTACCCCATGGCGTGGGTGCATCGTGGCTCGGCAGGGCGCTGCGCACTGTCTTGAACCCAGGGCAGCTCCACCTGTCAACCAGAGCTCCCTGTTTGATTCCCTAGCTCTCTGATCGTTTCCCCCAGCCGTTCCTGGGGGATGCAGCCCCACCAGATCTGCAGATCTGGGCACGGGCCCCCAGATGTGGGGTTTCAGCAGGCTGCTGCTACTGGCTGAGGAAATAGCTCAGAGCTGCCACCATCCCCAGCTGGCAGTGGCAGCCTGCTCTTGTTCTGTGCGCAGATCTGGGACCCACGCTTTCTGGGAAGAGCTGGGGGAAAGATCAGGGAGCTGGGGAATTGAGCTGGGAACTGAGGGAATGTTCAGGGACTTGACCACTTCATCCAGCTCTTCCTGGGGGGCGCGAGCCCCCTGATCTGCATGCCGGGGCCAGCAGCAGCACCACAGTCTTCCCAGTGCTTGGTGCAAGCTGTGCTGAGCAGCTCCTGCTGTCCCCAGCTTTCAACAGCAGCCCGCTGAAACCCCGCGTGCAGATCTGGTGGTCCACCTGCCCCTGCTCCAAACCCCACCCCCCCTCACCCCAGAAGAGCTGGGGAACTGAACCTGGAGCTGGGGAATCGAACCAGGAGCTAAATGTCAATATCAGAGCAGTCCTTCCTGCCCTCCTCCCTCCCTCTTAGTTTTTGTTTCCCTGCAAGCCCAGCTCTGAAATGCTGAAATTCTCTAAAATGTTTCAGAGCCTTCCATTTAGTTTCAGATTTGGTGTTTTGGGTGCTGAAACAGCCTGAAACACCTCCAAAACGAAACAGCTGCTGAAATTTTGCACAGCCCTAATAGTCATGTAACAGCCAGTGAATCTGAGCTCATACTGTCAAAAGAGCTTGGGAGGACTGTATCAATTGCTTGAGTCCTTGAAGTATGCAGTCTTGGATTGTGCTATAGGTATGCAACAAGCTTACCTTTATTGTTACTCTGATTATATGTTGACTTCTATTATAAATGCAATCTTTTGATAATTGGACATGCAGATTATTTCTTCTGACACTGAAGGATTAATTTGGACATTTTCCTTTTTGAAAGGAGGAGGAATTTGAAAATGATTAGCTAAAAACTACAGGAACAAATTAGTTTTGAAGTTAGGCTTAAAGGCACTTTCTAAGTTTTAGCACCTGTTGAATTTTGTCTTTCATATTGATCTGGTTAACTGTAATATCTTACAAGTGACTTTTCCAGAGTTGCAGCGTGAAATCAGGTTCTTAAGAACTAATCATTTTTACTCGTATCTGTGTTGGTTCACAAGATAACTGGTTGTGCAGGACCTTCAGTTCTAACCCTTAAGATAAACTGAGACAGTGTTCACCAAAAAAGTCACAATGTCCAAAGTTGATGGAATACGGACAAGGGAAGTAACTAGGCAGCATAATCAACACATGCATGCTGTTCCCTTTGTTGTTTGCAGCTAGTATTAATACTAAAAGCTGAAAGGTACTGAAGTAAGATAGTAACAGTACATTTAGTGGTGAAGGGACAACTAAAAAAAGGCAGACTTCTAGTCAAGTGTGAAATATAGCTTAACTCTTAATGTATCTACAAAAGTGAATCCTGACCCAGTGGCTCAGTCTGCATTGGGTCATGGGATGGCTTCTGGATTACCCTTTAAATTTAGTGTCAGACATAGTCCCTGGACCTCTGCGTAGGCAAGCTATTCAATTAAGTTTTGTATGGGGTGCTTGCTTAATTTTGAACCTTAACAAAGTGGCAGTTTCAAAATGTTTAATTTAGTTTCCATCTACACATGCATTAATGTGCTTTGGTTAATATGCATTATATCTAGTACCTCCGTTGTGAGGTACTAGGAAAATGCGCATTAGACTGTCTTAATGCACATTAACTTAAAAGCAGGGTTAAGTGACACCTAATGCACATCAGCTTACTTTAATGCCCATTAACTGACAAGCATGTTTTAGTAGTGCTTTTGTGTGCATTAAAATAAGCTAATATGTTAAGGCGCACATGCAGATGAGCCCCAAGGCTTTGTATTGGAGGCTTGGCTCCTCTTTACATTAACAGTCTTTAATAGTCTAGGATATGCTTGTATTAATTTGTTGGTCCTTTCATAGATCGTCAGTGGCATAGTACATCATAGCCAGACTCCTAAACTACTTAAACGCTTGTTTCTGTTCTCTTATGCATCAGCTGCACCAAACAGTCCAGGTAAACCTTAATTTTATACTTCATAGTATGTGTTAATTGTCAAATATGGTCACCCCATTCCCAGCCTGCACCTGTGTTTAGTGCCCACAAATATGCTAGGTCCTTGAATCTTCTATATTTGGTAGCTATCAAGCCTTTGAAAGTGTCCCTTTACACAAACTTGCTGATGAAATGTCTAAACTTGCTCCAGTGAGCTTTGATTGTAGTTCGGATGTAATATAAAACCTCAAATAAAATTTTGAGCCCAGAGAAAAATTACTAGATTCAATATATACATTATCAGCTTGTGGAAGTTTTACATGTGCCTTATGAAACTAGTTCCTGACGCCTGTAAAATATTTCTAGTGGTTTTGTTTGTTCTTTTTTTCCTTTTCCCTTTTAATTCTTCTGCTTTCTATTCTGGTTTTATATTGCCAGAGGGTGAACATAACTTCCTACTTTTTGCTCTTTTGGACTGATTCAAACTGTTCTTGCATCTCAGGATCTGTGTAAATATCCACCCTTATCCCAGAATTTAGGTATTTATGAAAAGTGCACAGTTTCCTGTCTCTTCCCTCCAAACCCACCCCCGAGCAAAAATAGTAACTTCAAAATTCTGCAAATCAAGCAGGCTTTACCTGGTGAAATTATACAAACTAATTTGCCTAAACTTCCTACTTAGCCATATCTAAATGATATACGGTAGCTTGAAGTATAATTATTTTTTTAGTAAAAAAATTCACTGTGGACAACTTCTTAAATTGGTATTTTAGTAGGAATATAGCTGCTTCTGATAGTACTGTTCAAATTTGGGTGGCAAGTTACCACCAGTGACATTTCTCCTCCCCCAGCCCCCCAACCCCCTGCCATTGGTAGACATTTTGGTGCATCAGGTTATTTCTATCCAGCTGAAAACCTAATCCAGTGATTAGTTTCAGACAGTTCCTCATGTTCCCATTGTTCCAGGGACTGAGCACAGTAAGGTAGTCCTGCTCTGGAAGGTTTATGATAAGGGGGGGGGGTTGCAGAAAGAAGGAAGCATAAAAGAAGAGACTTATTTGGAAAAATGTTACAGAATTCATCTATACCATAAAATAAAATGCATCTCTTACTGTAACTGCCATGTTATTTATTTCAGATCTTCACACTATATAATAAGAATTAGGAGTAAAAATTATTTTCTTTGTATACCTAAACACTTGGTTATACATATAGTGTGTGTCCTTCATTTTTTAGCTCTGCCATAAGCAGTCCTAGCTACAGCAGTCTCTTCAGTGTAGCTTAATGTTTACCTTTAAATTTGTTCTTGCTATTGTACATTCCATTGAAGTTCTTGCTATCTTTAAGCACTTCAGTTATCCCATAATTATTGGTATTGTTCTAAATTTTGTGGTTTTCACCCTGGGAAGCTACTACATAATTGACTTTTTGCCAGGCTTGTGCTCCAGAATCCAGACTCCCACTTAGTTTCAAGAAAGAGTCCAGTGTATCCATGCTCAGTTCCTCTGTGGACACCTGATGCAACTGTGTTCTCTAGAGTTTGCTGAAAATATGAGCACAGCAAACACATACTGAATTAGCACAGAGGCTACTGTACTAATTGTATACGCTTTCATATTTAATGAAGCCACATAGTTGGTTTCCAGTCAGCTGCATCGGGGTGTGAGGGAGTTAACTGCAGAGTATGTGGTAGATGTCGAGCTAATCTTAACTGAAAGGAAGTTCTGTAAAAACTTAATGTGCAGCAGGATTTGAAAATCACTTGTCAAAGCTCCAGCAGTAGTTAAATGAAAGCCAAGTAAGATGAGACAGAAACAGAATCTTCTGTACAAAAGTGTTTTACCTTGATGTGCTCAAACTATTCTGAATGTGGGGAGGTTCTGTCTATGCATGGATTAAAGTGGGTTTCCTACAATGCCATAAAGACCATTGCCCAAAGGCCCTTGCCTTTCTTACAATAGGAACTTTACTACCTTTTAAAGAGGCTTTCTTGGACACTTCGCAATACTATTTTTTCTAATCTAATGGTTTTCTGACAGATGCAAAAAACAGAACTGTAATGTTTGATACTTTTAAAGACTGGCATGAGGAGTTGGAAAGAACCAAGGGGAATGTGAAATATGAAGTAGTGAGTGTCAATGAAGGCTACAGAGTCTCTGAAAAGTAAGTTTGCCCACTGAAATATTTGCATAACTTTCTGTAGTAATTGTTAACATTAGCATCAATTACTTTTAAGTTTATACTTGTTAAAGAGCTCTTGTCAGTGTAAACTGTATTTGCAATGGGGGAATTTGGTGTAGTTCTACAAGTGACCCCTCCATGTTGAAAAAAAATCTTATTTTCAAGTAGTAAGCCTGTTGTGTTAGGATCCAGCTACTTTAAGGATTTCATGGAACGCATGAGAGCATATAAGTACAAAGTGTCATGAACAAGAAATGAATACTTTGTCCAGTTGAAATAAATGCTTAACTCAATCTTGTGGTAGCCAGAATTTTTTTCCTTGGTACCACTTAAGTGTTAACTGTGGCTAACAGTTAACAGTTAAGTGTTAACTGTAGGTAGTCTTTCAGCATTATACAAAGAACATTATGGCTACTGCAGAGTTCTTAACTACAAGGAACATTTTTTTTTCCTTTTTTTTTTTTTCAGATTGCCATTGTATTTTGTTGTTCCCAAGTCTTTTCTCAAGTCTGTGACTGAAAGTATCTTGGTGCACCAAGGGAGAGGCATTCCTGTGAGTATATAGACATTGAAGGGTGAGAGAACTTTCACATGTCAGTTGGAAAATTTCTGTGAATATTCTAGGCAGAGTGTTTAATGCATAAGATTAGCACACTCAAGTCCTTTCTGTAACAAACTCAGTAAAAGGAGAAACAGCAGCAAAAAGGACATAATATAGTTCCTCTCTTCTAAACATTAGAGAGCAGAAGTAGGAAAACACAGCAAAACAGTAATCTGTTCATCTTTCAGTTGCTGAGTATGCACAGCCCCTACTGTCTTCACCTATGAAGCAGAAGTCCCTTACGTCTGTGTTCTTAAACTAGATTCAGTCTGGGTGGTGGGAGACACTAGTTGCTTTGTTCTCTTTTCTGGCTCTTGTCAGTGACATTCAGAGTGATTCAGTGCTCTCATAGTCAAGTATTTGAAAGGATAGACCTACAGCACTTATTATACAGGAACTGAAGTTTAGCTAACCATGGCTTCTGGGCAACTCCACATCCTGGGCAGTTCCTGCACACGGGGCAGTGCTGGCTGAGGTGGTGCTGGTGGCAGTAGCTGCTAATGCAACAACTGTTGGGTTTTGCACCTGGGACTGCTGCCCTAGTTGCTCCCCCTCAGTTATGCTGCTAGGATTGTCATCTTAGTGGAAGTCCCAGTAACAGGTTTTTAAAAGTCCTTAAATTAATCCCTGGTTGCACCTATTTGAAAGCTAAATTCATATTTTTCCTTGATAAAATGGCAGTGACAAGGTAATGTGAAACCTTTGATTTGATTGTCTTGATACAAACATGGTTAGTTTCACCATGCTTCTAAAGTATGGCTTCTGGGTTTTTATAAAATGGTAGCACTGATCTCAAAATTACTTAATAAAACTGTAGATCTGGCAGTTTGGGACACAAACCTTCTAGCATGTGGAGGACAGTGTGAGTTCTTTTCTCTTCCTATATCAGCAATTATATTGTAGGTCATACTATAACTTGGTTACCCTCCATAATGATGGGAGGCTGATATGATTGCAAAGGAATAATTGAGTTATAATATGTTTTATGTATAATCTGATGTTCCTGATGAGAGATGCAGAACTTGACTTCCAGGTCCAACATAAGCAGCATTGTTGCAAAGCATGCCTGTGTGAATATGCCAAAGGTCCAGATAATAAGTCCAGCTGTCACCCATCTGTGCCATGACTCTCCAACTTCTAAGTAGCCAGGGGTTGCACACCCTGTGAACTGCGCTAGCAGGAGCCTCATTTGTGCAAGCCATGGGCCTGTGGGCTACCCCTTTCCCATGGCCCTCCCCTGCACTGCTTGCACATGTGTCAGCTGTTGCACTGTGCATGTGGGCAGCCTGCACTGTGCATGTGGGCAGCCTGCACTGTAGCTTCCTCCCTGTACTGTGCCATGGGCTTTCCCAGTGCTGCAAGCTGCACTGCCTCCCCCCTCCACCCACTGGGGTGGAAGCAGGAAGCAAATGAGAACCTTTCTGCAGCAGCAGCCAAAGCAATAGGAGGTGCAGCATTCAGGTAGGGCTGCATATGAACCCTTGGGCTAGGGACAGACATTCAAAAAAGCCTGAGCCTGACTTGATTCAATCTTTGCAGGTTAGTCTAACCTGGCTAGGTTGAATCAGTTTGTAACTGCAGAAACATCCCAGTAATGCAGGCACATGCCTGCAGTGGCTCAGGCTAGAAGCCTGGGGGCTCTAGAGCAGCCCTCCCTTCCCTTCTTTAGTGCTGAGCTGGGGTGTGTGGCCAAGCTCTGGCAGGATGCTCTGATTAGGGAGGGGTTCCCTAACCCTCTGACCAGCCCAGTAAGGAATTGATAACAGTGTTTATCACCCCATTAATAAAACAACTGAGGGGCGTCACCAGCTACCTGTTGATTCTGCCTTTGTCCCTTCTGCCACAGCACAGACCGTAGCCAGCATGTGGTCTGCTAGCTAATGCTGAGAAGTGTCTGTGTAAGGTAGAGGGGAGGGGGGGAGAGCGGGGGCAAGCCAGGCAGAGGCCTGCACTCTGCTGAGCTCCAGCCAGGGAGCAAAGGGGAGTGGCCAGCCCTGTTGTGGAGCAGAGAACCACACCCAGCCTAGAGAGCATGCTAGGAGTCTGGTTTAACTTAAACCAGCAAGAGGTCTGGGACAGACATTGCATAAACTGGTGTTTGACCCAAATCTGTTAAACCTGGTTGAATGTAGTATATCAGACTTATCTCTAACCAGTTTCAGCCATTTTCAAACTGGTTTATGTGCACTAAACATCTGTTCTGTTACAGGTTTAAACCAGTTTCTGATCACTTTGAACTGATTTATGTGTACTATCTGTTCTTAGCCTCGCAGGCTGCATGTGGCCTGTGGGCCTCCAGTTGAACAGTCCCAATCTTGCAATAACTTTCTTGCTAAGCATAGATGCTTTTTGTTTCATGTTGCCTTTTATTGTTTTTTCCTTAAGCTATCTTGCTTGAAAACTACAAAACACAACCTAATCCTGCATGTCAGGGTTTTTTTTGTTATTAAGGGTGTAGTGTTGTGTTGCCAAGAGCTGTTGGTGAACTGTCTTTAGGATGAGACACAGTAAATAAAATGCTGTACTCAAAGGGCTAAATAGCTGTTGTGAATTTAGCTATTCTGGAAGTGATTCTTTTGCGTGGGCATTTTCTACCCCCCTCCACTCCACCCAGGAAGTCATCTTCCTGAAGAAGTAGTAACAGGGGCTATTTTGATCCATTTCCAAGGACTGTTTAGGCAAACCTTATGGGGTTGGGGAGAGGTCTTTAACCATACCTTTTTTAGATAAAGTAAGTGCAATATTATTATTAATAACTCTAAGGATTAAACTTGAATTTTCAGGGTCATACTGTTAAGTGTTTTTGTGAAACACCTGCTTTGGTTCTAAACTTTAAGATTGCTACAATATTGAGTGACTCATTAGCAGGGTTCTGAGGGAAAATGGAGTAAAATGCAAATTTTCCCCTTTACTAGATGAAAACAACTAGATTTCTCATTTTAGCGGAGAAACCTGTGGATTTTGAAGTTTTGCAAAGAGCTCTCTGCAGGCTGGCAGAGTTCTAGCCAGCAGGGGGCTGGGAGGGATTGGAAGGAGGGCGGTCAGGCAGGGGGCAGCCAGGCAACTTCGAGAGTAGCTCCCACAGGTAATGTGGGTGGGAAAGGGTTAAGCCTCCCGTAGGGAGGGAGTTGAGTAGGGCTGGGACTGAGGCTGCTGCTCAGCTGAGTGGTCAGTAGGGCTTGGGGCCAAGGGCTGTAACATGCAGCTGTAGGGCCCCGGTGGGGAGTGGGATGGGACCGTGGATGGCTTGTCTGGGAGAGGAGTGGAGCAAGCTCCCTGGTGATGCATGCAGTTCTGGGAGGGCAGGTGGGTGTGCACTGTGGGCTCAAGCTCCCGCCCTTCTTCCCCCTGCCCCGGGCCTCCACAGCCTGGTGCGTGCAACCCAGTGCTGCAGGGAACAGTGATGCTGCACAGGGAAGCTGTTTGCCACTGTGAGCTCCATACTGTCCTGGTGATATGTCCCCTGGGTGTGTAGCAGCAGTGAGGGGCACACCCCCATACCACTGCCCCTGCTGCTGCCATGTACACAGGGACCGCATTGCCAGGGCAGCATGGAGCCTGCAGTGGTAAGGAGAACCCTGTGTGGCCCCACTGTGCCCTGCAATGGTACCTGCTGGCTGCGGAGGCCCCGGAGGAGGGCAGCAGGGCAGGAGCCCAAGCCTGCAGTGTGCACAGATCTGGGGGGCATGGGTCCCCCCTACCCCTTTCCAAGAGTGCACACCACGGCAGGGAGCCAGCCCCACCTCCACCCAAGCTGACAGCAGGCGGGGAGCCAGGCTCCATTCTGCTGCAGCAGCTGCTACCATCTGCCAGGGGCAGGGGTCTGCAGACCCGGGTCCCTTGCCCCATAGCCTTGGCAGCTAGGGGGCCCTTCAGCAGGACTGGGGGGGAGTGAGGGGCATGAGTAGGGCCTGTGAAGGGGGAGTGAGGGACACCAGCGGGGCTGTGGGGTCCTTTCATTTTAATCATGGACTTTTGGGACTTTTTATCAGAATTTTCAATTTTTTTTATTGGAAAGCCAGGATCCTTGTTCATTAAATAAATGAAAATTTGTATACAACATAGGGTAGGGAGATGTTTCATATAGTTTAATGTTTAGTCATTTTGCACAAGTATCTGTACAAAACAACTAATCAAGTAACATTTATTACACATTTCTTCTGCAGATTTGGTGTTGGTCTTGCCATAATGGTGCTGCCCTCCTCAAAATGTCTGCATTTCCCAAAGAACAGGATGACAGCGCTTTACAAATGCCCAAATTCTTGGATGGGTCGGTAAAAGCTCTTCTGTCTGTATCATTTTGCTTAGGAGAGAAGTAAGGTCCATACTGTTATGCTATCCTTGTTTACACAGCTTTCCACATTGGCTCCACCCACCAGAAAACTCAAAACAAAGCATTAGCCAGTCTAGCCTTTTTGGCTTCAGCACAGCAAGGCACTTTGTCCCATAGGTATGAGTCCTCATCAGAGTAAGCTTATGCAAACTGGGGATAGGTGGGGAAAAAGGGTTGCCCTAAGCTTAGTTACAGGCTGTAGTTGTAACTAGCTTACACCTCTGCTTCCCAGTTTCTCCAGTCAAGTTTCATTCTTTTCCAGGCAAGTGAATTTTCTCATACTGCTCTCCTTTTTATTTATTTTTTAATTTTTATTAAAAGTCCATGTCAGCTGTTCAAGGATTCCCAATCAAGGTTATTATTTAACCAGCTGAGAACTACTAGCAGCTGGTTTCTGAGAAACCAGTATTTTCTAATCCTAGTGAGCTAAAGTAGCAGAGGCAACTGCCCTCATTCATTAGTTCATGCAAAAATTAAGTTCAAAAGCAAAAACTCCCAGTTAATGGGGGAAGAGAGGGAAGATATGTGGGGTTTTTTGTTTATTTGTTTTAAAACTAAATGATATTGGGCCGGGGAAGGAAAACTTGGGTGGGAAATGAGTTTTATGAGCCCAGCTTTCGTTTTGGCAGTAGATTCATGGCCCTATGGTTCTTTTTTTCCCACTGCATCTGAAAGAAAAAAAGATTCTCTGAACCACATTTCTGAATGGTAGCTTGGTTCATATAGGTGGAAAGATAAACAAAAGGGTGTTCCTAGTCAGCCTAAAAAGACCTGCAAGATCACTAGTTTAAGAACAGAGAAAGCTTCCCTGTATTCCCCCACACTCCTAAATTTCTTAGGTGAGGGAGAGCGCATTTACGTGAGACTTTTACTACAGAGTTGACTAATTAGCTATGCAGTAAATGCCTTGCCGTCTACACATGCACCCCTATTAGAGTGCAGGAAACTAATAAACTCTGCAGCAGGGTAGTACTTGTACTTACTAGTACTACCCTGCTGCAGAGTTTGGTTTTCTCCATGTGTAGCAGTGCACATGTAAATGTATGGGGCTAGCCAGTAGGCAGCCCCATACTGAAGTAACTTCATGCCTCGGCCAGCCCCTCTGCAGCACACTGAGTCTGGTTGGAGCAGTCTCAGGTTGGCAGGCTGACCCCTGGGACCCTCTGCTGGCCAGGGCTGCTCCAACCAGGCTTCATGTGCTGCACATGAATCATCTCCAGAGCTGATTGCTTCTGGGCACATGTGCAAACAGCATGTCCAGGAGCAAAAAACTCCAGAGCAATAAGTGTCAGGGTTGATTTGTGTGCTATCTACATATGTAGACATGCTCAGAAATTACCTAAACTTTGATAATTAATTGCACATTTTTCAGACACTATTTGTGTTCCACAAAATAGTAGGTATCAGCAACAAAGTATCAGTTGCAACATTGAGGCATATATTTCAACCATCACAAAAGTCATTTGATCTTGTCTGTATTATTAGGTTTTACCTAGTGGTTAACCACTACCAGCTATCTTTTTAAACATGCGTGACTGTTTTTGTTAACATATCTTAAGTTTGTTAATTAGTATAGATTTAACATCTACAATTAAACTCTTTTTACTGGCATAATTATGCCAGTAAATGATGCAAATCTCATCAACATCAATATGCTGGTAAAGCCTTTATGGAGACAGCTATATGATGAAAAGTAGTGTGGTTTGTTCTTGTTCGGGAAATGAAACGTGTTATAAGTCTGCTTGGCCCTCTGTCTCTTCTGGTCTGAGCACATTTCTCATTAGGCTTCAGTTTTGCCTGTTTCTGGACTAGTCATAGAATCATAGAAATTAAGGGCTGGAAGGGACCTTGAAAGATCATCAAGTTCAACCCCCCTGCTCTGGGCAGGAACACTGTTGAGATCAAATGATCCTAGCAAGGTGTCTGTCCAGTCTCCTCTTGAAGGCTTCCAAGGTTGGGGACTGCACCACCTCCGTGGGAAGTCTGTTCCTGGTTCATGTGACTTTGTTCCTCTTGGGTCATGTCCTTTGGCTACAGAGTACTAATAAGACTTGACAATTAAATGCCTGCAAGTCTTCCCTTTGAAGTGTGATTGAAAAATGGCTTTAAAAAACTTATTAGTTAACTTAACTGTAAAGCACAGCCTGAGAAGCAAGTTTTTTTTTTTTCCAGCGAAATAAGGTCTATGTGCACAAGTACTACTTACTAACTCCAGACAACCTCTGGTGTTTAGGTTCATTTCAACTCAAATTCTTTTCTTTCCCTTCAGGAATGTCTTTTAACATCAGCAAATGTGCTTTATTCTCTTGTGTCCCTTCAGCCTAATCAAAAATCAGGGAGTCAAGCAGACTCTAAAACAGTCAGCTCTGCATTGTCTTTTGGTACTTGAAGTGTTTGCCAGGAGATGGGAATACCTACCACCCTCAGGGTTCATATTTTGACATGAATTCATTAATTTGGTGTAACATAGCATAACATACCCATGAAGATGCAGTATTCGTAGCTTAGAAGTTCCACATGTTTTGCAAAACTGCCTGTAAAGGATTTCTGTGCCAGTACAGTATATCTACACAAGGACTGTTTTTACCATGCCTATATATTTAGGGCAACAAAACTTTTAAATTTTAGACAAGCTCATTCATATGATGGATGTCTTGTATTCTAGAATACCTGGTGCGCACTTATATATGGGATGGGTAATGAACCTTGCTACTTTCAGTAATAATTATCCATGTTTTCTTCTCCAACCTAGAAGGCTTAATTCTCTTTATCATTTGATTTATCCAGAATCTATAAGACAATTCATGCACCTCCTTATGAAGTCTTGAAAATGGATGACCTTTCAAGCAGCCTTCCATCTCTGCAAGATATCCAAACTGCATACACTAGATTTAAACAATTGTTTTTGATAGGTAAGTTCTTAAAATTTAGACTTTAATAGGAAGAGGAAGAACTAGGATAAGAATTGATACCTACTATAGACTTGTTAATGCTGCATTCAGATAGTTATATTGCTAATAGTTCTTAGATCTTGAATATAGACCTAAGTGGTTACTTCCTCTTTTCAACAGATAGAGAACTCTAAGTAGATGACAAATGATGTGCCTGTAGATTAGGTGAGATCTGTATACTTGACTAGTAACATACTGAAAGCCTGCAGTTTTTAATTTAACTGTCTGACCAGCCGCTTGTATAGTTGAAGCCAGATCATTTGCATCAGAGCAACTTCCAACGTGGCTAACTGATAAACACTCCTCTGTTTCACAGGGGTAGAAACCTAAATCTGCAAAGTATGTAGGTTCTGTTGTACATTAGAAAGGTAGTTATGACAAGCTAGACTACAAAGCTGTTGTATGTAGAAGTTCTGTTGGCTGCAAGGGAGCAAAGCTATTCTGTTGGCTAACCTCCCATAGTTAGGGATCTACTTAATTTGTGGCCAGACAAAGGAATTTTTGTGGCTTGTTCACCATACAAATAGCCAATTTCTTTTCTCATGGGCATTTCCTGGTAGCCCCGCCCCTTGCTGCTGATTGGTGGAGAGTCCCTGGGGAAAGGCAGGACAAGGGGACAGCTGCCATCTTGGTTGTTGGCTGCCTTTTGTACTGCCCCACCAGCTGGCACCTTCCCCTCCTGGGTGGGCTGCAAGGCAGTGAGGACATTTTACCTTTATTAACTTTCTTTTAACATTAATTTATTGGGCAGTTGCTGTTTTTGTGGTTTCTACCTATAGTTTTCTAAACTTGGTGTGTTTTGCTCTAAGGCTTTTATAAACCCTGGCTATTTTGAGGTTTTACAGGATATTGGACAATACCAGTATAACTCAAGTGATAAGAGACTTTTCTAAATGCAGGTTGGTCTGACTGTGTTCTCTTGGTAACTTATACTCAAAACATAATGCTTAATTTGACTCTACATCTTTGAATGAGAATTCCAGTGTTCTAGGCTGGCTTCACTGCAGAGTTCATGTGGGTTATTGCGCTAGTGTTTATTCATTGTGTTTTAACATCTGTGCAGCTGTTGCTGATGAAGAGCATATATGTTAATTTATCCCAGATCTGGTCTCTGTTGAATGCTGCATGCTTGCAGACAGATTTGGCATGCATCTGCTCTGTAGCAGTGTCACTGCAGAACAGCAGTTACCCAAGTTAGGCTATAAGACTTTTGCAGATTCTTAGCAGAACTTTAACTTCAGTAACTTCTTTTGCTGCGTGCTTCAAAGCTGTATATGTCCTTCTGGGTATTTACAGGGTATCCGTGCTACCATTCTAGGACTCATGAAATTACTGTAACTTGGGACATACTTAAATCGCACTCTCTCTGTTTTCGTAAAAACCGTGAAAAACAACAGTTTCTATGATAGCTGCAAAAAACACATCTGCCGTGATTTCCTGTGGTATTGCCTGGGAATTGATGCCTACACAGTCAGATGGGTGGCAAGTTGGCTCGATGGTCTTACCCAGAGAGCGGGATGGACAGGTCATTTTTGACCTGGAGGGATGTGGGCAGTGGAGTCCTCTAGGGCTTGGTCCTTGGGCCTGTGCTATTCAACATCTTTATCAGTGACTTAAAAGTGGGCATGGGAAAATTCATGCTTTCCAAATTTTGCTGATGACACAAAGATGTGGGGAGAAGTGGGCATGCTGGAGGGGAGGGACAGAATCCAGCTAGATCTAGACAGGTTACAGAGGTGGGCGGATGTCTGCATTGAATTCCATTCTGTTCTCAAGTGCAAGGTGCTGCATCTAGGGAGAAGGAACCAGCAACATACCTATAGGCTGGGGAACGCCTTTCTCAACAACACAGTGGCTGAAAGGGATCTTAGAGTCATTGTTGACTCCAAGATGGACGTGAGCCACCAATGCAAGGAAGCAGTCAGTAAGGCTAACCGCACCTTGTCATGCATCCACGACACAATAGACAGAATAGTTTGCTATTATAACAGAGACTATTAAAGGCCTTCCTTTAGGATAGATTATTATGGTGTGTAATGTCTCAACTGGGGCAGTAATGATGTCTCCCATTTCCCATCCAGTATGCTGTGGGAAGTTATAGGCAATGCTGGAGCACACCGTGTTCTTTGTACTAGCTCACAGCATAGCGCTGGTCAGGCCACAGTTGGAGTACTGCATCCAGTTGTGGGC